TAATCTGAAAAGGGGTAATGGAAAATCTATTTATTAAACCGATTTGGAGTTGGAGTCAAACGTGGCCAAGTCCATCAGATTTGGAATCCAATCAGCGAATCAGGTATATTTGGAGTCAGTCTCGAATTTTAGCTCGTTTATTATACAGTTCAGATTTTAGACCTTGCATACTTTGACCCGAGTCCAATTCATCGCCATACCTAAGAGATATGGCGTCCACAACATTGGGCACTAATGAACAAGAATTTAAATGCATAGTCATGTTCCATCATAACAAGGAGGATTATCTTAAAGTGGCTCCATGTGAACATTGTACAAGACAGACTACCAAGAAAAAAGTGATTCACATCAGCATAATTACATGACTACATAAGAACTACTGTAGTATTTAGTATATCACTCAAACATAGCAATTGCACAAACCAATCAATTTCTTTGTTGCCCCTACAATGTATGGTTAATAAACATGTTCTAAATTTTATAAGCACCTCCCTTAATCAATTATAATAAAATTAGTTTTCCATCAACCAAAATTTACTCTCGGATGTCTGAGTTACAATCAAGTATATTGTCCTCAAATTCTCCTATAAACACTTTTTTTGAATAAGAAAATTGTTCATTAAAATCAAATTTAACTTACTTTCCTTGAAATTATATTATTAGAGCTTATTAGAGTCGAAATAAGTGAAAATAAATTAGGGAAATATAGTCCTCAGCTAATTTGAACTTACTCGTCTTCAACTAGGGTGTGTTCAATTCACATGAACTTATCTAAACTAAACTTATTGGACCATATTACCCTAATTTTATGTTATATATTTGTATGTACACCTAATTAGTTGATTGAACTGAACTAGCCCTAAAACTTTTTTTTTGGGGAGAACAAAGCACACCCTTATATAGTCTAAACTTATTAGCCCTAAACTTATCTAAACTTTTAAGCCTAAACTCCATATATTATTTAAACTTATATCAACTATTTATACTTGAAGTTAATGTAAATATGGTGAGGAGAACCAGGCCTAAACCTACAAGATGATAGCAAAATGACTTTGTCCCACAATAGGTCAAAGGTAATACCTAAAGTCCAAAGCATATTATTCTCCTAGCCCTTTCAAACCCCACCAAACTGAATTTGTAATCAATCTTCATTACTCATAGGACAAGCCCAAATCTCCTTAAACATTGTAAGAAGACTTTTTTAAAGATAGAAAGCCAACTAATGGTGAAGGAAAACATGTAAGCAAGACTCACTGCCACCTCAGCAAGGCCATCAGGAATTGTTGGCCTTTGCTTTTGGAGCCTATCATTCCGAAAGCAATTTTAACTGTACACGCTGTTCCAGTGATCAATGCATTGTCGCACCTAATCCCATCTGCTCTCCTTCGACAATCAGTTGCTAACTCCTAAGCTATCCGGCCTATCCCTGCATGATTTCTTAAAAATTAACCTAGATGATATTAGCCCCTAATAGAGAGATGTCCATCTAGAGAAACCTTGTAATCTGATTGCTTCATTTCATAAGACAAAATCATTATTTATAAAGCTTAGTTGTCCATTTCAAAGTATTCCATAAATTAGGGATGTCAGTGAGGCGAGTCAAGTAAGAGACCGCCTCATCCCCGCCCCAGTGGGACGGGAATGGGTCCCAGTTTGGCGGATGGTGGGACGGGGATGGGATAAAAACCATACCTACCATGGGTGGTGGGATGAGGGTGGATTTTAGGTTGTATCTGCCTCATCCCCGCCCCGCCCCTCCCCATCTGCCCCACTTCGTACCCACCCCATACCCACATGGCCACATGTATATATTAAAACAAAATGTATTCTAAGTAGTATTTTATAAAAAAAAATTATATAAATTGTAGTAGTAAATATAATACATAGTAATATACTTAAATTAAAAAAAAGTGTAATATTAACAATGATTTTTAATTTATTTTAATTTATTGTAATTAATACTTCGTATTACGTAAAATTGTTGTATTTCAAAGGTAGAGATAAGGCGGATAAGTGGGGATTAGCTGGGGGGTGGATATCCAAGTGGGGGGTAGGGCGAGGATGGTTTTGGAATTGTACCCACCGGGGCGGGGATGGGGACTAATTTTGGACCCGCCGCGGGGATAGGGATGAGGATGGGGATGAGAATGCTAGGCGGGGATGGGGATGGGGATGGGGATGGGGATGGGAAATCCAACATCTGCCCCGCCCGTTGACATCCCTACATAAATAAGTAGCCAATTTTGGAAAACTACTATAAAGCCAAAATTATTTCTAGAAGTCAGTTGTTCATTTATTTCTAAGTATTCCAAAAATAAAATAAGCAAACACTAATATGGTCTGTTCCACTACATTACTATTGCTTCTCTGTCTACCCAGTCCATTAAATGAGTATCTCTAACGTAAGATCTTATCCACCTAATTTCCTACTTGTTTCCTGAAACAGAATTAGCAACAATCACACCTCAAAACTTGATGATTCAGTTCATAATAGTCTAGCAAGAAAGTAACTAATGAGCCACACCAGTTCCTCAAATAACTAAAGTTGCACTCACCATCACCACCTCCTCTTCCCACCCCAACCCCCCCCCCCCCCCACACAAAAAAAAAAAAAAAAATTCCCAACAAAAGATTGCTTCTTTAGAGTAGAAGTGAAACTTCCACGACTATTAATCATCTATTACTCTTGTGACCAGCACAAAAGCACAATGATAACTCAAAAATTAAAATACCATGACACCAACAAATCAAACCAGAAATCAAAAGGCGAAATGATAAGGCTAAATAAATAAAACTGTAAAAGTAGGGGGGTCATGAGCCACCTGAAGGAGAAGCATGGAGTTGCTTGGCACGATCATTGCAGCTACCCAATAGTGCTGGGGGCAATTCTTCTTCTTTCTCAACAACACGATCCTCTTCCTCGATCGCTTCAAAAACACTAGCTCTAAGCTCAGCCTAGAGAGAACAATGAAAACGATTAGCCACGTATTTACCATGGAAGTGCCACACCCAAATTAGCAGAAACGAAAATTGAAGGCACAACCATAAGAATGATCTAAATAGAAGTGTACAAATTCAAAACAATAAACTATTGCCAAATTAAATTAATAAACCACGATAAATTAGATGGAGTAAGTTGTCAAATTACAGATGTTAATTCATCCATCTGTAGCTGATCAATCTAACTGAACTACACAATAGCAAACTTTGCTTCAAAGAAACAGAAATATTACGATGTTGCCCAAATTCAACATCCCAGCAAAATCTTTCAATTTTAGCTACAACCTTAAACATTTAAGCAATAACCCAAATCAAAATTCCCAAAACCGAATAGAAAAAAGCCCTAATCTCAAAAAAAAAGTAACATTACATGGATAATGAAATCAATTCAATTCTGCAAAATTCCCAAACCCTAAATTGCAAAATTCATAAATGGCATTGCAAAATCGCAAGAAAATCCGCAGTTCATAACTACATTTGAATGTTAAACCAAACAGAAACTACAAGAACAAATTAAAAAGGGGAAATGAACAGAAAAAAGGGGGGAAATTGAAGAAAAATTACTCGGATCTTAGCGAGAACTCCTTTCTTCTCAAGAGTACGGGTGACAAGGGTTTTAAGGTCCATCATTTCTCTGGTATAATCATCCATTTTTGAATGATTGAAGGTTTCGTCGTCTTGTTTCTCCTCTGAACCAGGTCTCGGAACTCTGGATTTGCTTTGCTTCCGAAGTGAGAGAAGAAAGGGAAGATGGGACAAATCCTTATTGGAAAATACTTCAATATTTCCAATTCAAATTAGTAAATTACTCATTTACTTTTACCAACTTTTGTTTGTTTTTTTTTTTTTTTTTTTTTTTTTAATATGAGTGGACAAACTTTTGCTCAGTTCTCCAAAAATGGACTGACCTTTAAATCTTCCCATTTTGGACAGAAGTTTTCTTTTTTTCACCCATATTGGACTGAACAGGTAACCTTACCTGTTGTAACCGGTTTGCTCGCTGACGTGGCACTTACCGTTGGCTTTTCTCTGTTTCTTCTACAAAAATTCTCGATTTTTTTAATTTGTTTGTTTATTGCTTCAACCAGAAATCCTTCAAAGTTCGTTCTCCATAGTTTGGCAGCAATGGAGAGAGCAAAGCATCAAATTGAAACGTCAGGGTCTTCTTCTTCATCAAGGGGAGGGGGGTCATATGGGAGAATTAAATGTAATTGTGGAAGAGATGCGATTGTTCGATCGATGAAAAATGGTCCAAATGTGGGGTTGAAGTTCCATGGCTGTCCATTATGGCCTGTAAGAATTTAATTGGTTCATTAATCATCTCAATTATTCAATGTAATTAGGGTTCAGATAACTAATTGTGGTTTGATATACAGGATACAAGTTGTGGTTTTTTTAAGTGGATAGGTGTGAGAGATGAGGTTGATGATTTACGGTTTCAATTGTTTGAAAAAGAAACCACCATTGCTGAGTTAGAGATGCACAAGCGAATGCTGGAAGATAAGGTGAAGAGGGTGCAGCTGAAAAAAGAGAACTTGGAAGAAGATGTTCAAGAACTTAAGGGTGAAGTCAGTCAAATGCGAATTGAGTTGATGAAGAGTGGAAGGAATGAGAGAAATTTTTCTTTGGCTTTGGTTTTGTCATAGGTTCTGTTTGGGATAGTGATTATGTCCTTCAAGTAGTAGGCTGTTGTTGGTTGTTTTTTTGGTTGTGTTGTAGTTGTAATGTGTAGCTGTTAAGACTGATGATTGAATAAAAAAGGGTTCCCTGCCTTTTGCTAATTGTTAGCTATTGTTTTGTGTAATTGTTGACACAGGGGGAAAAAAACAGCAAATTGTTCACCAAAATAGACTAATTGCTCATTAATTAAAAGCAACAAACAAATTGTTCACTAATTAAAAGCAACCCAAAAAAAAACACCAAATTGTTCACCAAGAAAGACAAATTGTTCACTAATTAAAAAACCAACCCTAGTTGAATTACACCAACACATTCATACATCAGATGTTGCTTGTCTGAGTGGGATGCACATTTTGGGTGACTTGTGAAGGACCCTGGTTTACATCAGACTGAGATGGACCCTGGTTTATTGCAGCAGAACCATCAGCTGCAAACAGCACTCCAGCACCAATTGGAAGGCTGGTCCTGCCACCTCTAGAGCCCCTTCCACCTCTTGAGCCCCTCCCACCCCTTGAGCCCCTCCCACCTCTTGATCCCCTGCCACCTGTTGATCCCCTGCTAGCCCTTCCCTGTCCTGTTGCAGATGCAGTGCTTCTTTCTCCACCAGAAGCTGAGCTAGTCCTTCCCCCTCTTGAGCCCCTGCCTCCTCTGATCATTTTACCACCCCTACCAAGTTGGTTGGGCTGTGCTGTAGCCTGATGATGTGACTGAGCCTCTGCATCAGTATCAGTAGGTGGGTGTTGTGGTTGAGGTTGAGCTGCAGTTGCTTGCTTCTTGGTGGGAGGCTCACTGGCATAGGAGGTTGGATTAGGACACTTCCTTTTGTTGTGGCCCTTCAATTGGCAATTACTGGATGTCATCTCCATCCCAGCCCTAGTGAGGTGACCAGTCCTTGAAGGATTTTCATGGGGATCTTTGATCCTGTTTTTCCTTGGTCTGGCAGGCCCTATTTTAATTGGGGGAGGATCCAAAGCCCACTGTACTCTTGGCCAGTGTCTCTCCCCTTCACAAGGTGGAATTGACCCTACAAGGCACAACAAGTTAGATGAATATAGTTGTCAATCAATGAACATTATGTGCAACAACATACAAGGTTCATACCTGCATATGCTTTGAAATACAAGTCCTTCCAGTAACATCTGTCCACATAAGCCTTAGCTTCCTTGTGCAAGAAAAAAATGCATGCCACTGCATGATAGCATGGTATTCCAACCATGTCCCACTTTCTACAAGTACAGGTTCTAGTCTCTAAATTAACCACTAAGGAATCCAACTGATAGCTGACATTAAACAAGGTCTCTGATGAAGGCATAACATCACAGTAAGCAGCCTTGTTCTTCTCTATTTCTAACCTTTTCTGAATGTTTGGACACAAAACAGAGCTGCATTTATGCATTTCCATCCTTTTCAACACAAGCCTCTGCATTAGGCTTGCCCTTATCTCTTCAAGCATATAAATAAGATGTTTTGTTCTTGCATTGATGATATATCCATTAAAAGTTTCTGCCATGTTGCTGGTGATTGCATCTGATTTGACAGAAGTGTCCAAAATAGCCCTACAGAAAAGTTTTGGATTGTATGCTATGAATGCATTTGCTGCATCAGGATCTAGTTTCTCCAAAGCCTCAAGATTTTCATTGTAATCTGCCATGTTGTATGACTTGGCTATTTTCCAGAACATCAGCTTCAGTTCATCCCCCTTGTAGGTCTTATGCCACAGAGCATATATGTGCCTAGCACAATGCCTGTGTTCAGCCTTAGGGAGAACATTTCTCACACCATTCAAAATGGCCTAGTTCACATCAAAAATTAACAATGAAATTAAAATCAATGACTAGCACATCATACACAAAGAAAAATCAAAGAAGCTTACAAATACTCACCATATGTTCATCAGATATGATGCACACACCCTCACCATCCCTTAGGCCAAGATTATTCTTCAACTACTCAAAAAACCATTCCCATGATAAGTTGTTCTCCCCTTCTGCTACTGCCCAAGCTATAGGGTACATCTGCTCATTCCCATCCCTTCCAGCAGCTGACAGTAATTGCCCACCTAAGAAGGTCTTCATGAAACACCCATCCACACAAATTACCATCCCTTTTTCAGACCTTCAAAACAAGTGAACAACCTTTGAAAAACAGGTGGTGGTGCAGGCTGTTTGTTCAGTGTTGTTACTGTCACCAACTCAACACAGCTACCAGGACTGCCAGCCTTCAAAGCTGCTATGTAGCCTCCCAACTTTGCATAATGTTCATGCATTGAGCCATGAAGCATTCTATGAGCTGCATACTTCACCTTGTATGCAAATCCTCTCTCAACAACTATCTTAAAGGCCCTTCTAATAGTTTCAACTATCTCTTTTGCTGGCCAATGGGGTCTGTTCTTGAAAACCTCTAAAAATTGTTTAGCTACCCACTTTGACTTCAACTGTCTGTTCCTTTTCATGTTCCTGTGACAAGTGTGCTCCAAGTGCACAGTCTTCACAACAAAAGAAGCCCTCCTACTCTCCCAAGCACCATACAAATAGAAAGCACAACCCTCCACACACTTCACACCTAACCTCTGATTTACCTTAGTGTTGCTTATGTCATAAGTGAGATCCCTTCCTTGTAAAATAGCATACTTAGACACTGCATCCTTGAAAGCATCCCTCGATTAAAACCTCTGCCCCACCTTCCAAGTAAAAACACTGAAATCAGTGTCTGCACTCACACTATTTCCTGCCCTCTTCCTCCTTTGCTTTCTAGTTTCTTCCTCATCTCAACTGTTTGTTGGGGTTATTAAATCATCCTCACTCTCATCATACTCACTAGCATATCCCTCTGCAACAACTTCAAGTTCTTTCCAACCTCCCTATCAGCCTCACAACCTAGCTTACCCTCAGCAGCCTCCCTCTATAGCTGATTTGCTATCTGTACCAACTTGGCAGTACAAGTTCTCACTCTCTCCCTTGCTGTCAAAGCCTCCTCATCTACCTTAGAGTCATAACCATCATTTTCACCACTTAACACCTCATTCTGTTGCTCATCCTCATCATCCATATAATAACTACCTTCAGATTCATTTCCTTCTCCTTTTTTTCCAGTGAAAATACTTTTCCCTCTATCAACAGCTGGGTCATACAGTGGATCTTCTTCATCTCCACTTACATCCTCATTGAACCCCAAAAGATCTGCCTAATCTAAAGGACTTTTTGGCCTATTGTCAACCCAGACATCTTCATCACTAAGAAGGAGTTCCCTGTTTGAGGTCAGATCTGGAATAGAGGTGTTATCAACAAGAACAGGGGAAGGCTGGTAGAAGGTAGCTAAAGGAAGAGTGTTTAGTTTGGATTTGCCTTTGTCTTTTGGGAATATAGAAGTAGGTTGGGAGGTTGTATCTGTATATGTGGAGGGACACACGATTGTTGATGTGGGAGCATCTTTCTGGGTGGGAGCATCTTTTATCATTAAAGGTAACTGTGGGCCCCTCTTTATTGGTAGTTTATTCCTGGCAAGGTCATAGGTCAAAGGTTGGCAGTGGGGTTCAATGGGATCTAACTTAGGTATTTCAACCCCTTTATGTACATATATCTCCAAACACCTAAACTTCAAAACAATCTCCCTCATCCCATTCACTTCATTGTCAGAATAAACCTTCCTTAACCCACTCTCTAATGGCTACCCTAGTTCCAAATACCACAAATCATCCACATTTTCAACCCCACATTATTTTGCAAAGTCCTCTAACCACCACCAACATAACTCATCAGGATCAATACTAAAAATCCTACCTTTTCCACCCTCATACACTAATGTCCTATTATGCAGAGTTTTAAAAGTCCCCCTATACCAGTACTTAAGAGTTACAGCAGCAAAAGGATCCATATCTAGCATTTACCAACATGAAAAAAACCAAATTTCAGACACAAAATTAACAGCAACAATCCAATTAACAACAACAATCCAATTAACAACTAAACCTAAGTACATACAAAACGCAATTCACAGTGCACAATTTCAGTCCAGAAAATTAGGGGTGTACACCGGTCCAAAACCCGACCGGACTTGGACCGACCTGTTTGGACCAGAGACTTGAATTAGGTAATTCTAAGGGCCGGGGACCGGACATGATTTATCAGGTCCGATCCCGGGTCAGACCTGAAAAATCAGGTCCGGTCCGGGTTTGGACCTGAATGGACCTGTTTTGTGATTTTTTTTTTTTAATAAATAACCTGTTGGACCTGCATATGGACCTGTTTTGTGATTTTTAGACCTGTTGCATAATTTAATAATTATATACAAACCAAAATTATCAATCACAAAACTACATAAAGTCTATAAAGTCCCAATTTCCAAACACCAAAAATTCAAATGAGTCCACCGAAAATACAAATGAATCCATGAAAACTCATAACATTACATAAGAATCCGTGGTTCCTTCACTCCCTTGTTAGCCCTGGGCAAGTCTGCAAGAATAAGAACAAGAATAAGTAACTAAACATAAAAACAGAAAACAAGCTAATCGTAAGGAACTCCAAGTTGATCCTAGGATTAAATTAGATCGGATTTAAACATATTCTTTGAATGTAAAGCATACTTCCAAACCACTGCAGATCTAGAAGGATAAGCTCTTATGTAGGGTAGGGATGTTATCCTTCAACATACTTTTCTTTTTATGATTATGTCCAATTATCCAGCATTATTTTCGAATTCAATGAACTTATAGCATCACATAAAGATTTCTCAACTAATTCAAGCACGATAGTGTGCTGGTTAATTGGATATGTCAGATTGTCAGTGATGTTGGATCAAAATTCTTAAGTCTTATAGCTGAATAAAATGCCATACTAAATTGAATATGCAAGCTAAATCATAGGACAATTAGTTCAGTCAAAAATTGGAAGAAGCAAAAGCAAAATGCCATACTAAATTGAATATGCAACTTCTTGCTATAAACATAGCCGAAATTCTAAAGTCCTGAATTTTTCTTCTGGACAAGATACCACAATTATACTAATCAGAGTAATATATACGATTATACGTAAATCGAACAAATCCAGAATGAACAAAAATTCGACCCACAATAATAAAATTAAACATATATAAATTCGAATATAAATTCTGAACATAAATAAAATTCGACCAAAAATGAACAAAAATTCGACCCACATAAATAAAATTAAACATATATAAATTAAGCATACTTCCAAAAATTAAACATATATAAATTCAAATATGTAAACCCAGGATGAACAAAAATTCGACCAAAAAAATCGAACAAAAATAAAACCCACATATATAAATTCGAACAAAAATCAAACCCACATAAATAAAATCGAACGAAATAAAAACCACATATATAAATTCGAAAAAAAATTAAACAAGAACATGAACACCATAATTCGGAATTTCGGACAAGTACAAAAGAATAAAGAATAAATTAAACATGCAAAAACTTACCGGAGATTCGCGGTGGTTGTCTGGCTGATGTAGCAAGCCTTGGGCGCCTGGGCGGTGGACGTCGCCTGAGAGAGTGAGGAAGGCAGGGAGGTGTCGCCTGACGGCCCGAGAGAGTGAGAGTGAGGGAGGATAGGAGGCAAGCAGCGAGTTAGGGTTAGAAAAGAAAATAAAAAATGAAGCAAAGCAGCATTTTTTATTTTGAAATTTTTTTTTAATGCAATTTAACCGGGTTTCAGGTCCGGACCTAAAACCCCCGGTTTTAGACCGGGTCCGGACCGGAACCGAGAACCTTGATTTTCAAGGACCGGGACCGGACCTGAATCAACGGGTCCGGGTCAGGTTCGGTTCGGGTCATGTCGGTTCAGGTCCGGTTTCAGGTCCGGTCCAGTTTTTGTACACCCCTACAGAAAATCCATAAAAATTGACAACTTCGCACACAATTTTGCAATTAACAACGAAAATAATCAGCTTTAGGGTTCTACAAAGAACATACCACTTACGGATGAGTCGAGGACCCCAATGGATTTCCCAGTAGCTTTAATTTAACTTCAATGCTTGCACCAAACTAGTAGAATCGCAAAACCAATTTAGGAAAAAAAAAATTTGGGGACCAGCAATTTGCAGAGAAGATTGTTGTACGGAGTGAAAGTGAAAGAGGAATAGAGCGTCATTTGGGTAATAGGGGAGGAGAAGCGCGCTTTACCCAGCGTTAATGGCTGATTCGACATGGTTGGTTGAAGAGTAATGGCGCTTCAATTGCTGTTGGAGGGAAACTAACTTCCCAAAGGTCAACATGGCTAATGTTGACTTCGTTTACCGGTTGCAGGTAAACTCAATCCAATATGGGCGAAAAAAAGAAAACTTCTGTCCAAAATGGGAAGATTTAAAGGTCAGTCCATTTTTAGAGAACCGGGCAAAGGTTTGTCCACTCATGTTAAAAAATCCTTTTTTTTAAGAAACGTTAGGCGAGCAATATTATTAAATCAAATTGAGTTCCGTTAAAGTTAAAAAACTTTGGGAAAATTGTCAAACCATACAAACATCGACTCACTAGTGTTGTTTTGTACCGAGTATTTCAATTTAAATTACCTTTAATATTGAGGGATTGTTTTTTTTTTATTTATTTATTTATTTTTAATTAAGGTAAGAAAAATAAAGAACAATATGAGATCTTTTTTAAGAGGGAGCTTCTAATGTACTCGATATAAGAATAGGATGTATATTACAGGCTTACAGCTATTACAATTACAAGGCATAATGTTAACAAAAGAAACAGGAGAGGCCTTAGAAATCCTAGAGAGAGAAAGAAAAAAACGAAATGGAAAAACCCACCGCCACCCCACCTAAAGTTCAAGCCTAGAGAACTTCGCCACCCGCTTCTCCTTCCCAAGACCACCATCTTTGCCCATTTTCAAAGCTATACAGCTTTAATTAGCAAGAGTAAGACATTAAATCATTGCATTTCAAGCCCATTTATTGGCCTTTGCCAATTTACCTGTGCCATTAGATCAAAAGACTACTCCCTTTTCAACCAAGATCTACTTTTAATCCCTCAATTAGATACCCATCAGACGATCCAAATCCTTTGGCATACTTTTAACATCGAGATTAAGCGAGTTAAGTTGGTCGCGTATCTAGATATACAAGCTACTAAAGATGTAATTATTACGAACGAAGGTTTCTTCATTTCAAGCCCGCTGCAGCTACTACCTTCTCTAGACTGCTTCTTGAACATCTCAATTCAGGGAAGTCGTTTAGCCTTCTAATGTCCAATTTAATTTATTGTTATTGGGATAATTGTTATTTATTATGTTATTATGCTGGGTGTTATGTCCGAATTCCTTTCGTATTCTTGTGTGGCCTCCCCTCACCCTAGATATTGTCAATTTGAATGATTGTGCTTGTTGGATACTCCTACTATTGGAGTTTCATGTTCTTTGTTGGTTAATTTATTATTATGTTTTTTCTTGGGGAAAGGTTTTTCTAGCTTATATATACCCCCCT